TAGAGATTAGAAGTTTTTAATGGCAAATTATATACAATTCTGTATGCATTAATTGTAACTAATTAGAATATAAAATCATAAAACTTAGCAACTTAGAAAATGTTAGATACAAAACTTGATTTTCTGATAAACTGATGGTTGGATCCATTGTCAAATGGTAACATCTTAATTCTCAGTTCTATCCTATTAAACTATTAACTAATGAACTTGAATATAACATAAAAAATAATTTTAGGTATTCTTAAATATAAATAGTTATTTAAATAGGACTGAAGATAAAATGCCAAAGGAACTAAAGCAATTTTGTGTGAAAAACTGAGACTTAGGTGTTAAATGAGGAGCCTGAAGCATATTGAAGAATAACAATGTTGAAAAAGATAACCAACTTTTTTTTAACTACTGGATAAGAGAAATGGATAAAAAATAAAAACAGGAGATAAGCAGAATAGATATTTTTTTAAGAAAAGCCTTTTCTGACACAAGAGCACAAGTCAGATAACCAAGGAATAGATTAAGTCAGATACAAACTAAGAGGTGATTGATGGAAAATAATGTGTAGGTGCACCAAAGTGCCCTGGGACTGCCTTCCTTGTACGTAAGTTTAACCTGGGAACCTGTAAAAAAAAAAAAAAAAAAAAAAAAACCCTGCTTTTGAGAGTAACATTTGTGTAACTAGCTCAATCTGTGATTTGCCAGATTTACTAAAGTATATGTAGGAGCAGGTCCCGCAAGTAGTTTTGGCTGAAGTTTGTATAGTTCAGAATCTAAAAATTAAAATGCAATTTTACCTGCTGAGCTGACAGTAAAAGGTGTGAACATTTAGAAACATCCTAGTCTGAAAAAGACTCTTGGGGCATATGTAGGAATGTTATGCAATTTTTAGAGTCACTGATCTAGACTTTAGTTGATTGTAACTTTAAGAAGTCAACTTGGAAGAGAAAGTAACATTAAAAAAAAAATTAGTGAATAGTTATGTAATAGGCTGCATTTAACTGGTAATAAGTTCAACATAAATTTTATAAAATGTATAGAAATGTTAAGTAATCTCAAGTTCTATGATCTAACTACTTCCAATGAAATATTCATCTTAAATTTCTCATAAATATGAGAAAACACCAAAAAGTTTAGTAGAATATGTTTCCATTTTAAATGACTTTGAAAAAAAAGGTTTACAGGGAATGGAAAATTCAGTTAAGAGCTGGCTTTAGAATCTAAATTTTAAAAGCTTTTAAAGAAAAACACTTCCCAAATTTTGTGACAATTCCCACTGAAACACATATTTTATGTGTTCCTATCTTTTTTTAAATTGTTTCCACATTCAGAACCAACGTACATTTTCTGGAACACGTGAATACATGTAAGAAAACTATATAAATTGCTTTATTAGAAGGACATTATCCTTATATCCTTCCTACATCCTCCTTTATTCGTTTTCTGGATTAGGAACATTTTCCAAAGTCACTAAACATAACAATTTTCAAGTTGGAGTCAAAGGACTGATAAGACTAAAAGTCCATGTTAAATTAACTTCTCCAAATCAAGTATGGAATCAATCTATAAAAAAAGTATCTGTTCCCATAAGTCATCTCACTTTACCCTTAAATTTTACTTTATCTTAGTTCTTCAATATAAAATGTTAGGAGTGAAGTGATTTGAAGACTCATAATGGCAGAGGTGGCCCTGAATTTTGTCTTGAATTAGTAATTATTTCTCAAGCACAATTAACATATCTATGTCCAGATGTCTTATGGTTGCCTGACTTTTAAAGTCATTAAGGTATCTGGGTTAGGCTTATATGTATAAGCCATAATGACTAATTTTTTACAAAATGTCAGGATATTATACATCCTGTCATACAGTGTGTAGGCAATATGGTATGAATGAGAGATGTGGAGACAGGCAAACCTAAGTTAAAATCCATCTTCTTCTATTACTAGACGTAGACCTTGGGCAAATTACATAGTTTCTCCTAACTTTAGCTTACTCATCTGTAAAGGGGATATATTAACTGTAATTCTTACATAATTGCAACGAGGATTAAAGAGATGGTGTATTTACAGTATATCCCAACATTCAGTCTAAAACAAATGGTCAATTAGTATTATTTCACTCCTGTACCTTCCCAAAACTTTTTACACTGATATCAGGGTTTTCCCTAATTATACATTTTTAAATGGGGAACACATTTAAGAATTATAATTGTCATTTTTTACTAAACACAATTCAAATCACGTTCTTTCAATGGCTTAGTTCGAACATACAATGACAATAGTTAAGGAAATTAATATTATTCTTTAATTACCTATTATAATGTTTTTAAGATTGTAATACTATCTTGCAAATGAATTTAATGTTTTTTTCAATAGCCTTTTTATTCAAAAGGAATAAAATGTTTTTAGAGATGCAAAATGTTGTGATAGCAGTTAAATATTAGCTTTAGGACACGTTTAATATTAGATGAATAAAATTGGCAAACAAGCATTTTAAGTAATTTCGCTTGCTTGTATATTATACATAGATCCTAAAAGTAAACGAGTCTGATGTACAATTTAAAATTTATTAAAATATTCTACACTTTCTACTTTTTCAGGTGTCTATTAAACAAACTGGGGAAAGAAAATGATTTGTTTTAAACATCATGGGAAATGGGAAACTATAGGAGTTCTTTTAATTTAGTATGTTAACTTTTTAAAGTATTTTATTAAGTACCAAAAAATGTTGGAAAACTTACTATCAACTGGCTCGAACACAAAGTACAGTCTAAAGTAGGATAACTCTTCTTTTTCAGAAAAAAATAGTCAGACCTCACATGGTCACTTAACCTCCAATTGAAGAGTAACTATAGTTTATTTTTATTCAAAGAAGTCCTACAAATGTTTGAAAATAATGCCCTGAAACACAATTGAAAGACATTTAAAGGCAAGGGAACGAAGTAAAATTTCCTAGGAAAGATACAATTTGTTACATTATAAAAGACTAACTGGATGAAAAACATTTTATGCCATAAGACTGAAAAATATGTTAAGAGTGTGAATCAAAATAAGGGCCATTAAAACACAAAAGGTAGAAATCCTGGGCACTACTAAAAGGATCTTAATTCTAAGAATTCAAAACTGTGCTCAGCCATCTGGCTGAATAAATGTTAAGTGCTGCAACATCCAACTCAAGATCATCACAGATGGCAAACAAGAGAAGGCTTATATACAAGTCAAGTGTTTGGAAATCTGATACAAGTCAAATTGGGAAATTTAGGTTGTTTTTAGCTAAATGATGAAGATAGAGGAATCTGAATGAGAAAATATTGTTCAGAATTTTTGTCTGTCTCTTAGCTTTTTATCTTCCAGATAAATCACATAACTTAGATAATGAGTACTAAGTACTCTGAGAACCTGTAAAAAATAAGTGAGAACATCGCGGCTTGCAAATGGATAGAAAAGAATTTGTGCTTATAAAAAACAGTCCCTTATTTGACATAAAGTGCTTTATTTTTAAAAATGCAGAGGTTGTTGTTTTAGAAATGATTATGATAGTGAAGAGGCAAAAGAAGCTTTAAAAAACAGTATGACTTGATGGATACATAACATGCTATCACTAAATGGTATATTCTGAATATAATGTAAATAAAATGCTGTTCACATATCAAAAATCATGTGAAAAATTGGCAAAAGGAGAATTTATGAAAATAGGATTAGTGAAAAACACACACACCCAATTTTGAAAAGAGAGGGAAGTCTCAGTCTGCTCAGAGATGATAGGCTTGGCAGTAGCCCTGCCTTCCACAGGGATCTGGCATGCCAGTCCCACAATTTCTTTCCACACAGTGTTATAGGTCATGGGAAGAGGAGAGGAATCTTTTCAGACAGTCATCAGGCTTTGCTTGGGAAGAGGATAAAAAGACACTGTAGGTTCAAAACTAGGAATTACTTTTGAAGTTATTTTATCAGGAAATGTAATTTTATTTGAGTCAAAGGTGGCCTATTCAGAGAATAAAGGATATAACACTATATTGTCTTAACCATCTACCTACTTAAAAATTCCATATAAGTATAGCTCTATAAGTTTTCTGATAAAAATGTGCTTCTTAAATAAATGAAAATGGAACATACATATAAAAATAAAATAAAATGGAAAAAAGGCTAATATTTGGACTTCCTCTACTTTGTTCTATGCTCTCTTATGAACTTCTAAAACCAGAACCAAGTAAGTTTGTTAAAATGCCTGGAAGGAAACGTTTAGGATTTGGAAGGTTAAAAGAAACAGCATTTCAAATTAGGTTTTGGTTGTTCCTTCTTTAGAGCCCTTTGAGACAATGTTTCTGCATTTTCCACAAGGAGAGAGAACGCAAAAAATCAGGTAGCTGCTTTCTCTTCTGCAAAATTCACTGTCATAAAACAAACCTGACAAAAACTGGGGGGAGAAAAATGTTCTTATTATGGAAGAATGTGTGCTCTGTTAGGAAGAGAGCTTACAAGAAAGCTTATTTGTGGCTACAGACTATTGCACATTCAAACAAAACACAAGAGAAAAGAATGTCCAACTGATAATATGTTAGGAACGTATCAACATATAAAATAAACTAGCTTGTGCCCAGAAATAAAACATGGATACCGGACACCACTGAAGTCAAATCTGTCTTAATTTGCTTCTGTTTTAATGACCTTTAGAAACTGTTTCAAACTGATTATCAGTAATACATTGTTTTGCTTTTTTTTCTTAAAAAAATATTTTGAGACCACTTTTGATACACACACATATAATTCTGTGGTCATAACAGACAAATAAACTTTAGTGAGACTAAACAAAAGTGCAAAACTTAAAAAAACAAAATTAAAAAATATGGAAGCATAAGCTAACTTTTCTGCATAGCTGAAATCTATTTAAAGCAAGTCCTTGTTGCAGGGATGGGGTACTGACAGGAGTTTGAAGCAGTTTTTAAAAAATGTTTTCTGCAGGTTTAAATGATGCAAAAAATAATTTCACTCCATAGGCTTGAAAACATTTCACAGACAATTCATTCCTATATCTTTAGACACCATGGTTGTGGCAGTGCCTCCTTCTGCAAGGTACACGGTGGTGCTAGATTTGGAATGGCCTGCCCTGTCACTGCCATTGTTGTTGACCTCACAGTCCAGTTGTTCGGTGGAGATAACCCAGGTGGAGGGGCGCCACCGCTTAAGAGAATACGGAGTTTTCACACGTTTCTTGATCTTTTCACCAGATCCTGATTTGCCATCTTGTGTTGACTCACCTACTAAAAATAAAAGTATAGAAAAATGAACTATATATAAAGGAACTATTTAAAAAGTAAAAAGTTAGGGTTGCAATTCAAGAAGAGATCAAACTAATGTCTACAGGAGGTGCTAATAGACATTTCTTAAAGTTGTTGACTCCAGGCGGTATTTTTTGAGGCAAAACTTAAATTATTTAAACCTAAGGTTTTTATAACTGAATTATTCTATAGGACAAGGAAGAAAATATTTAAAAACCACAAAAAGCAAAAACAGAGGAGAAAATTCAAAAGTTCTTAGCTGCATTCTCAAACCCTTTGGTTATGGGTAGCAATCTTAACTTGGCAAAATGCATTTAATCATTCCATTTAATGTTCAAAGTGAATCAAATTATAAAGGCATTGGAACATGAGAGTTTACAGAAGAATGACATAAATCCTAGAATACAAATTTTCTAGTAATTCCCCCTTCCCATACATGACAAAACATTTTATTACATGCAGCCCTGCCACAGGTCAACTGGTCTACAATAGAAACCACTCAAGCAGGGGCTAGATTCTACTGATTGATTTTTGAGAGATAAATTCCTTTCAGCCCATTTTATAGTCTTTGTTTTTCTTCTTAAGTGCTGTCTATCTAAAAGAGAAATTATTTTGTATAATGATGACTGTTAAGGATTTTAGTGAGCTCTCTTGTTTTGTGTTATAATCCTTTTTGGGCCAGAAACTAAGTATCAAATTGTTTAAGTTACTTGTTTAAATTGTTAGGGGGCCCATGCACAATGCTGTAAACATGTGGGAGACTCAACACATAACTTTTGGAAAAAAATGACACTAAAAATCCAAAAGCAAGTTTATAGTGACTTTTCTGAATTCTCTCTGGACTTTTAAGATTTATTAACTCTGATAAAATCTAAATGTGTATATAATTGATATTAATATCCTCAACAAACTTTCAAAAGTTGTACTGGTATTATTTTACTTGGAGGTTTTAAACAGCTATTTATTTCATCTTAATTATTCACAACAAATATGAGTTGCCTTATAAACTAGTAGCTACTTAAGGCACATATTAAATTGGTAATTATTCTATTGTGACACTGACTTTTTAATTATCAATAACAAAAAAAAAAACGTTTTCTTTATAAGACTCTAATTACTTTTTAGGTCCAGCCAAATGACTTATTTCTAAAAATATTAAAATTAAATAATTGTTAGTTGAAATACAATCTGATTCTAAGTAGTTACTTAAATGGTCCCAAAAGTCAAGCAGATTACACAACCCCCTCACTTACATTGCAAATCGCTGCCATCAAGGATATTTGTGGCTGAAAGATCTAAAGAATTAGGTCTCTGTGCTCTTCTGGGTTTTGTAGGTACAGGATCTGCTACTGTGCTTGGGACACCCTGTGTAAGAACATCTTGCTCTAAACATGGATTACTGTTGTTGTTATTGGAATTAGTTCGGCCACCTTCCAGCGGCCGTTCCCTCCTGTCCACAAGGCGATCCAGAACACCTTCATCGTGGCCAGCCTGCTGCTCACGCCTCAATAGAGGTTCATGCTCATCAGGACTGGAATTAATATTCAGCCTGGTGTCCTCACCAATGAACTGATTCTGCAGCATTTCTTGGGCCCTATGTGCCACTGTGTTGGCTGTCTGGCCAGACGATATCGTCCCATTAGCATACTGAGCAGTGGCAGCATGGGAGTTAACATTGTGGTTTCTACCTGCCACCCCATTCATGGTAACCGTAGCCACATGAGGTTCTACAGCATTGATTGTGTTCATCTTGGCAACTCCAGTTTCTACTTGTTTCAAGTTTGATTTGTGCTTGCTGCCAAATTTCAGCCGGGGCTCCTTTGTTGAATTTTTGGTGTTTAAAGGCAAACTAGTAGGTCTCTTGGGAAGGTTCTGTTGCTTGGGGAGAGGATAGAGCTGAGCAGGTGGGACATCAGGAATTAAACATGCTTGGCCATTGGCAGCCTGGGTGAAGTCCTGCTGCCCAGTGACTTCTACTGCAAGCTTTATTAGTGGGTAAAGCAAGCTAGAACTAGTACTGCTCAGTGGGTCTGGCCCACTGAACTGCTTAAGAGAATGCTCCATGAGATTCTCATCAGAACTTTCCTTGAGATTCTTATCAACTTCTTTAGGGTCCAGCTTGTTGGTCTCCAAGTCTTCTTCTGTCAACTGTAAGCAGACAGGGGTTGGCCCAATTGGCTGTGAAACATTGGTGGCATGAAGATTTGTTTCATCTGGGTATGGCATCTCCGATATAGTGGTCATGCCAGTGCTTGGCGTGAGGCCAGTGGTGTTGGTGGTGGTTGTGTTGGTGGACAGGCTGGTGACACTTGTTTCAGGGCTGGGGATTCGAGCTTGTGCTTGCTGTCGCTCGTAGTTAATTGAGTTTCGGTTCTTTTCCCCTGTGGTCAAAGGTGTGCTAGACATTGAATGCTCAGAGGAAATATTCTTCACAATGCTGTCAGTGTGATGGATAGAGTCTTCAATGTATGAGGAAGAAGAATAGTCTGGATAAGGGCCAATCTTTGGCATACGCCTACTGTGTGACAGGTTGCTTAAAGAAAGAAAAAAGTGCCACATTGAGAATGTACATTTATGACAACTGGCTCTCCACGTCTAATACCTCTGTTTTTAAAGTACAAACTGCTTTTTATTTTATTCCTAACCCACATCATTCTCAAAGTTATTTAAAAATTCTAATCAAATAATCATGTGAACTAATAACTTACAAAATGCTTTATATACTTTGAGCCTACTGAAAAAACTATGTGTAATTATAAGTAGTGTGAACGGCCGCTGGATTTTTAGGGATGTTCATTACTTTGGCTTATAGGATTTAATTAAAATATCTCCTATAGTTTTAGAACATTACCAAATTATCTTTATGAATTGTATACTTGCACAATAAAGTTTCATGAGAGGAGGAACCATGGCATATGTTCCCTTTGTGCTATCACAATTCTAGCTAGATAGTGGCTACTCAACGAATATGTTACCAGTTAAGTTCTAATGAACAAACGGCATTTTGTTCCAAAATACGTCTATGAGGAGACTTAGCCTCGTAATGGAATGTATCCTCTTAGGGTAGACTGAGCCATATCAATGAAAGCCCTAGAGCCCTAGTATTAATGTGACATTCAGATAAATGATCAAAGATTCAGAAATGTTCTCCAGTTATCAAGGGTTCTTCAGTCATCATCACACCTTGAGAATGATGGTTCTTGAGCATCACTGTAATACATGTATGTTATTTAAAATAAAAACCAGGGGTAGCTTTAGCAATCAAAGTATAAACATTGGGAACATTAATAGATACAAGTGCTGTAGGAGAAAAGCATCAGCTAAAGGAGGAATTACTACAAAGAAAGACTGATAAGGTTGTGAGAGGAATGAAAGGAGGGGAGAGTAAAAAGGTGTTGTACTGAACAAGAAAAGGAAATCTAGTAGTTATGGAGGGTAAGAGTCAATACAGTGAAACCTGGAGTGGAATGCAATAGCATGAACTACAATTTAGGGGAAACTACTTAGAAGTGACAGGACATGAGAAGACACACGTTAAGGGATAGAACTAAATGACACAGAGGGGGGGAAAAGGGCAAAGCAAAGGGAAGCATCAAAGGTTTCTTCTTACAATTTAAGAAAAGTTCAAAAACACTTAAAGTAGCTGACTCTTGAGAGAGAGAAACAAAAAGCAGGAGATTATCTATCTTTAAGTATGTGTAAAGTGAGAAAATGTTTATTTAGAATTGTTAGTCTCTACCTTCCTTGACTGGCTGATATATAAAGCATAAAAGTTTATATACTGAAGTTAATTTACCTAATTATAAGTAGTGTGAACCCAATTTGGGGACTATACAAATTGCTCTTAAAATTGGAATAGAAAAGAGCACAGAAAATTATTCAAGAATCAAGTGTATTTTTTAATTTATTGACTGCTTTTTTTTTTTTTTTAGAAGGGGAGGAGTCAGGGAGAGAAGAGAGGAGGGTGAGAGGGAGGAAGGCAAGGAGAGAGAGAAAGAGAGACTAGTTGTTCCAACCGTTTATGCATTCATTGGTTCCTTGTTGTTTGGGCCTTGCCAGGAGATCAAAAATGCAACACTGGCTTATCGGGATGACGCTCTAACCAATTGAACTAACTTGTCTCAAGTATACTTTTCTCTCTATTTTCTCTGGTAACTTTTTCCTTGATGCCTCTCTAAAGATTTTTAACATATATTAGATAAAATGACAAATTTGTGAGAACACTTTTCCCCAAACGTGAAACAAAGAAACACAGGTGATACAGTCTGAAAGTTCCAAGTTTTAGGAATCTTTTAGGGGACTCTCCCCGTCCCCACGTGGGAGTCTGAACCTATTCATCAATAAATTTCCCTCTTTGCTACAAAAATAAATAAGTAGCCCTTTTACTTAGAACTAAAAACCATAGCTCTAACAAAAACACAAGTATAAAATAATGTTCATGATGGGATGGAAAGTCCTCATGAACTGCTCTCCTGTAAAAGTAGTAGTAGTAGTATATTCTATAAGAAAGAACATTGGGCCAAAACCAGTTTGGCTCAGTGGATAGAGCATCAGCTTGCGGACTGAAATGTCCCAGGTTTGATTCCGGTCAAGGGCATGTACCTTGGCTGCCATCATATCCCCAGTGGAGGGGGAGAGGTAGGAGGCAGCTGATAGATGTTTCTCTCTCATTGATGTTTTTAACTCTCTCTCTCTCTCCCTTTCTCTCTGTAAAAAATCAATAAAGTATGTTTAAAATAAAAAGAACATGGGATAAGAACTCTGGAAACAACAGTTTCCAATGAAACAGGTTAGATACATAGGCAAGATCATATTCCATTTTCATTAAACAAACAAATAGCAGGGAAAGGACGATTAATAATAACAAAAATGATAATATCTGTAGAAGTGCTTATAAACTTTTGGAACTAAGAAAATGTTTTACTTTTATTATTGTAGGGAAGTTGGAGCATTAATAGAGAAAAACTAACCTCTTTTTCTGTATCTTTAGATACGAAAAACCCCACAGATTCCACCTTGCATTTTTATTAAAAATCTTAAAAGAACAGGAATATTGAAAGAAAAATTTCGACTTTAGATGCGATGAGTTAATCACTGCACTATTATACTGATAAAAATGTTTATTTCCTGTTCTGTTTGGTCTCCGTTTTCAATACTGACTAATGGGTGCCAATCCCTGTGGGTCTTACCGTTCATTCTGCATTGCAGTAGACATTGGATTGACTGTTGGGCTCACAGATTTGTTTCTTTCCCATATCATCATAAGTTCAGCCATCCTCTCCTCAGCACACTGTGCAGTAAGCCGAGCCTCTGCATCCTGGTCCCAACAGTCTTCGATTGTCTCCTTAAGTGACCTCACTGCCTATAAAAAAGCACATGTCAAACAGTACTATATCTTTAATGAAAAAAATCATTGAGTTATTAATGATATGAAGTAGGAGAAAAACATTTTCTTTAACAACTATTTTACATAACTATAATAAAACCTTTTAGACTTCAGAGATTTTTAAAGGGTCACATTTCTCAAATGGTAACTAGCAAGTAAGCATGGAAGCTTTAACTTAACTCCTTGAAGAATTATACATAACAGCAAGCTCTATGAATTACAAGGCTATATGTTTTTTTTATGATTTTCTAACATTCAAATGGGAATTACTATACTCACTTAGCCATACTATTTTTATTTAGGAATCAGGAACATATACATCTTCCTAATTATTTAATGCTGCATAGGATCCATTATATAAGTTTTTAGCCTGATCCTTATAAGAGGACTAGAGGCTCGGTGCACAAAATTTGTGTGTGTGGAGGGGTGTCCCTCAGCCCACCCTGTACCCTCTCCAACCTGGGACCCCTTGAGGGATGTCTGACTGCCTGTTTAGGCCCAATCCCACCAGACCTGAGACATCCCTCTCACAATCCAGGACTGCTGGCTCCCAACTGCTCACCTGCCTGCCTGCCTGATTGCCCACCACAACTGCCCTCCCCTGCAGTCTTGGGTCCCACCCAACTGACCTTCCCTACTCACCCGGACACTCCTAACTGCTCTCCCTGCCAGCCCAATTGCCCCTAACTGCTCTCCCCTGCTGGCCCGGTCACCCCTAACTGCCTTCCCTTGCCAGCTTGGTCCCCCCAACTGCCCTCCCCTACAGCCCTGATTGCCCACAACTGCCCTCCCCTGCTGGCCATCTTGTGGTGGCTATCTTGTGTCCACATGGGGGCGGCCATCTTGTGTGTTGGAGTGATGGTCAATTTGCATGTTATCTCTTTATTATATAGGATAGTTTCCAGTTCTTGCTGATATAAATGACATTGCATTGAACATTTTACACATGCATTTTTCTACACGTGTGTAAGTGTTATTGAAGAACAAATTCCTGCAGATATTATTGCTGGATCAAAGGGTAAAATACATTTAAAATTTGTTATTGCCAGATTACCCTCCAAATTGATAGCACTCCGAACAACAACAAAAAGTATCTGCTTTCCCATCATCAACACTTTGTCAATGTGATAGGTAAAAATAGATCTTCCTTTAACTTATCACTAGTAAGTAGAGCCAAGATTTAAAACCAGGCCTTTAACTGGGCTGGTACTCTTACTATAAAACTGAAACTAATATTCTTTTTTTAAACAAATGTTTTCATTGTTTTACATATGAAAGAAAAAGCTATTTAAAAACTAGGACCTATAATTTTTTGTTTTCCTAAAGTATTTTAATATAAAAACAGCCTTAAACTATCTGTGTGATTATTACAATAGTTCACTTTTACGATAAATTCTAAAAATATAGGGGGAAAAGTTATCCATAAATCTAATATTCAGTGGTAACTATAGCTAACATTTTCATATGGTTTTCTCAGAAAGTATTTTCTTTACTTTCACTTTCATCAGAAAAGTATTCTTTCCCCATTTACTGACTGAACTATGCTTGGGTCCCTGGTAGTTTTTAAAACTAGTTTTTACATTCATTAATATTTGAAAGAGTCTGAGTTTTGTTACTATAAAAAATGCGTTTTTTTTTTTTTTATTTCAATGCAACTATGAAGCAAAAGTGTTTTCTTTTAGACACAGGGGAATTCCTCTCTTTTTATAAACCATGCACTTGCTATATTACTCTAGTACTGGATTGTCACTGCAGACAAGCAGGTCTATGGACTGTAGTACATTAAATGGATTCACTGGAAGTGAACCAAGCACTACTTCATCCCTTACTTAGGAACCTACTCTAAATTTGGAGTAAAAAGTTTACAAGTAAATATGCATATAATGCATATCCCATAATGGTAGGGTTGCCAAGAAATATTTCAAAATCAGAGTCCAATCTCTCTGGTGAAATAAACAAGTGAAGGAAGATGAAGTATTTGAATAGGTAAAATTTCACGAGATTTTTTTTTCTTTGAGAGGTGCTCTACTGTGAGGCTGGCATATCTATTGAATCCTTATAAAGGATTCAGCCCCTTACCGGCTGCCAGGGACCTCTTAAAGATCTGTCCCACTTCCCATAGCAGGGACTCCAATTTGGAGGCAATCTTGGGCATATGAGCTTGGCAATAGGCCTTTAATTCCCTCATTCAATAGAAAATAAGAAAATTGCAATCTTATTTGAAGATTGCAATTTTCTTATTTTCTATTGAATGAGGGAATTAAGAAGCCTTCCTTAAAGATAATCTACTGACAAAGATGACCAGTGGAGAAAATGTTTAATCTAAATCTGTATGGAAACATATAACATCTCTTTAGCCTCTCTCTAATGTATCAAACCATATAAGTTATGATCCAAAATGAAATTATTCTTTTAAAAAAAATTTTTTTTATTGATTTCAGAGAAGAAGGAAAAGGGAGAGACAGAAACACAGATGATTAGAGAGAATCATGTTCAGTTGCCTCCTACATGCCCTCCACTAGGGACCAAGCCCACAACCAGGGAATGTGCCCTGGACCGGAATTGAACCCAGGACCCTTAAGTCTGCAGGCCAAAGCTCTAGTCACTGAGCCAAACCAGCGAGGGCCAGAATGCAAATATCCTAATCCGACCAAGACAACCTAAAACTACAATGTGAAAATGCATAGTAAAAAGATTTAAACTGCATAATTACAATGTTTTCATTTTTGTTCTTTAATTATAAATCAAGAAAACTGCACAAAATGTCAAAAATTCAAATGTGCATCCTCAGAGATAACAAAATTCCTATTATATTCTTAAAACAAGAACAGATTGTTCTGGAGAAAGCAAACAATAAAAATATCTAGAAATTATATGTATGATTATGAAAAGTAAAATTTTAATGAACAGATAACAAATAAAATGAAAAAGGTGAAAATAAATGAATGATTTCAAAGGTAAATCTGAGTAAATTTAAACAATGTACAACAACAAAAAAATTGAAAAATACAAGGAAAAGAACTGAGACCTAAATGTCAGGTGGTCTAATATTTGTCTAGTGAGAATTCCAGAAAGAAATAAAAGAGGAAATAATTTTTAATAATATAAAAAATTTCTCTGAATTGAAGAAACTTCTGAATTTTCAAACTGAAAACCTGACTAGTATAAAGTGAAAGGTGTGAAAAGATCATGCCTACATAATTCCAATAATGAAGTAAAAGGCTTAAAAGCTTACAGAGAAAAGAAAATAAGAGAATAAAACAAAAAGCAATTGAAAGAAAATAGTTGGTGCTGGAATTCTCATTAACACATCTGGATGCTAGAGGGCAATTGGGTAGAGGTTTCAAAGTTGTGAGGAAAATTATTTTAATCTTGAAACTATTACCTAGCCAACTTATTACTCAAATGTGAAGGCAAGATAGAAACATTTTTCTAATGTGCAAGGATTCATAATGTTTACTACCCATACACATAACTAACACACATTATTTAAAAAGAAACTTCATCAAAGAAAAAGTGATTTACAAGAAAAAGAATGACATGAGATTTTTAAGAAAATGTTGCATCTTAGTAGAATCTATAAAGAAAAAGGAGCAAAACAGATGACAAAAAAAAAAAAAAAATCAAAGAGAATCCAGTGGTTAGTGACTTTTGAAACATTATTCCTTAAGTGGCAGGAATTTACACTAATTTATTAGTTTTATTTCCTTCTCCATGAGCCCAAGAATAATACTGTGTTGTGCAGTATGTGTTTACATAACCATAATTCCGCAAAATTCTGATGTTTTATTTAACTTAAATTTTTAGGTCTGTAGACGAAACAGTTTTTTTTTTATTTAAAAATAGATACAATTATTTAAAAACTAGGAGAGGGTAAATAAAAGATAAGAATAAATATAGTAGCGTTATAATGGTAACTTCTAGAAGATAAAATGAAATACAAAAACAAAAACTGAAGAACAATGTTAATGGGAGTTATTTTTGAAGAATGGTGGCAGGGGTGGATAGTCTTTTCCATTTTCTTTTTTCTGCCCTTCTATTTAATTGGATTTTGTTTACTATGCATAGGCATAACTTTAATTCTTTCAAAAGTTGTTTAAAATATGAAATAAAGGGTACTGTCATCAACAAGGGGTAATTATGATACAGCACACAATGGAATACTGTCAAATAGGGAGAAAAAGAAACCTCTATATGTACTGACATGAAAACTGTCCATATTAAAAGAATCAAGCTTCAGAAATGATAGTGGATAATGAGACAATCCCACTTATGAAAAAAAATTAAAATGATTTCAAAGGTAAAGCTGAGTAAATTTAAACAATGTAAAACAACAAAAAATTGAAAAATGCAGAGTGGGTATCTGTGTGTATATAAATGTTTGTAAGATGTTTTTAGTATCATGGCAACAATTTACTGAAATGATAGGAGCCTTTGAAGATATTTCAATGTTGTGAGCTGCATGTTTTAATATGCAGAATTTACAGGATGTACCTTGCTTTCTTTTTGGTGCAGCCTAATTTTCCATTAGCCACTGAATTGGTAAGTTTGCACTAATTTACACTTTTGATACTATTCTTAAGTGAGTAAGATGGAATTTCAATAACGTTGAAAATATTAACTTGTTAATTATTCCAGTTGTTATCAATCTGACAAACTTAACACATAATAGTCTATTTAAATAATATTTTATACTTGGAAAAAACTGAAACTGAACTAAAAAGGGAACTTTTTTATACTGAAATTTTTAAAAATACATAGCAACAAAAGTCAAGTAAGTTGACTTTAAAAAAATCAAGTAAGTTGGATTTTTGGCATTAGACAAAGTCTAAAAACTATTAACATTATTAACAGTCTATTTTTGCTTCAAACAACGTTAAAACATAGTCGTTAAGTCATGTTTTTAATAATTTAGTTTTTTCTTACCAGGCTATTTTCTTTCCAAGCTTCTGGGAACTTGGGTCTCTGTTTTTCCCTAGATACTAGAACCTGCATATCTTCAAAAGTGGGATGGTTTCCAACTTCTGTCTGAAAAGCCATCTGGTATTCTGGTACAGATTCACCTGTGAATTTTTTTTTAAAGGACAGAGTAAAATGTTCAATTACCATAAAATGATATAATTACAGGAAATTGTCTCAATCTTTTTTTTCCCCCCTTAATCCTTTCCCATATTTGGAAACTCTAAAGAAACGCTTTTGTGCGTTTAATGCATTATTAATAAATGTTTCACTTATAATAGTCTCTGATAAATTAAGTGCTTTTTTATAAGTTAAACAGTACTTTCAATGATGAAAAGCTATTTTTAAACGGTTTCTAGCATTACAAAATTTGGAGGGAAAGATTTTTTCATATACACATATTAATATGCCTGAATTTTATGCCATATAGGAATCAAAGATACTGAATATGAGAAGATGTCCAGGATCTAGCACAACAAACATGACTATAGAACAGAACAAAACTGGTAGGGTTGTACAGCCATCATAACTAATTATGTAATTTGCTCTATTATAATACAGCTAAATTGATACAATCTGTATCAAATGTCACAAAAAATTTGTATATCAACCATTTGACTGGAAAACCAATATACTGATCTTTTAAAACATTCCTCTTATCAAACAGTTTCTAGATCAAGGTTTTTAAGTATCATTAAGTATTCTACCACTGCTCAAAAAGCATAATCTGGGCTTGTAATGAGAGGCTTATAACTTTTACAAAATGTTATCAAAGTAAACTTAATAAACATTGAGCTACACAAGAAGACCTCTGGGACCAACTTTCAGAAAACCATCATCTAGTCAAAATCTTGGCAAAGATCTCTGAAAAAATAGAGACCTTTTGTCTCCTCACTGCTGTAAGCCTCCTCCCCCCCATCCTTCACACCAATTAAAATGACAGAATAATTCAGAAGGAAGACACCATTATAAGGCACTTAGTTCCTAATATTGGCATCCTTTCTATCTTGCAAAAGTCATTTTTTAAAAAGATTTTTTAATTCATTTCAGAGAGACTGAGATAGAAAAAACATGCAATTTAAGTTTTATGTTTCAATTTGAATACTCAAAAGAATCTATAAACACTTCCTCCATCAATATTAAAAATACTAGAGGTGGGGTGGCGGAGGGAGCTACAGGAGCGGTGCTCCAGGCAGAAGCGGGGACTTGCCAGCTACCAGAGGCTGGGAGTGAAGCCAGGGGAAGGAAGGCCTATTCTTCCATGAATATCATGCAATGGGCCTTTAGTCTATATATATTTATTTATTTATTTATTTTCATGCTTTGGTAAGAGTCCCTAGTGGCTGCCGGCTGGGGCCTCCCTCCATTCCCCCGGCTGGCCCCCTCCCTAGATGAATACCTGGTCAAGAGGATAATTTGCATACTATGCTTTTATTATATAGGTTATTTACAAAGATTAAATCAATAAACTATGCAGCATTGCCCAAAACTTTTTGGAATATTACACTATCTATAAATATGTGATATTTTCACATGCTCTAAACATTTCAGCAGATACTTATTTTTTAATCAATAACCATGAACAATGAACTTGAAAGACAAAACTAAAGCGTTTAACATTGCTGGTTAGTATATCACCTTCATGAATCCTCATATGATAAAACCTCAATCCATACCATCTTTGAACTGTAAAGTATTTACTAGTATATCTTATCTCTTTGACATATATATACAACACACTTAATTCCCTTCCAATATTATTTATTAGTTATTTTTTTTCTTCAAACACTGGTTTAGTAGAATAAGTAAAAATACAGTTTTACTTATTTGTTTTAATCAGGTTTAAATCACAATGAGAAAACTTGCTAAATGAGGCACAATCTTATCTTGTGATTTGAATAACATTAAGAGTTAATAAATTTTTACTAAGTTTTCATGTATCTAATTATTTCTTAGATACTTGTGTAGAGCTAATTTCATATTAGGAAGTGGAACAATTGTCTTAAACTTTATAATCACTGAATTGTTTAAGGGAAGTTCTATAATCCTATTTCCTCTCAAACTGTCCAAAATAGATAAAATATCCAAAACTAACAGATGCCATTCCTTGCTTCTCACAACACTTGCTACTTGTTAATTATGCTTCCAAGAAGTTAGGAATTCTTAGTCCCTTACTTAAATTACACTTTTCTCTTTCTTTTTCTTGCCTTCTTTTTTTCTTCTTTCTCCCTCATGTATATAAACTTGGCAGCATTTCATTCTTCCTTTGTAATAGAAATACTTTATTCATTCATTTTGTTAATATTTTTTCCCTTTTATTGAATTTACTGGAGGGACACTGTTTAACAAAATTATACAGGTTTCAGGTGCACAATTCCACAATAGATCATCTGTACACTATATTGCGTGTTCACCCCTCCAAGTCCATCCTTTACCATTTATCATCCTCCCCACCTCCTCAACCTGTATTTTGGAGTCAGCTTACATAGTGTGCCCATTTATTAATAAAACATGTACTGCCCTAGCTGATTTGGCTCAGTAGATAGAGCATGGGCCTGCGGACTTAAGGGTCCTGGGTTCAATTCTGGTCAAGAACCTGGGGTTGCAGGCTCAATCCCCATTGAGGGGCCTGCAGGAGAAAGCTGATCAATGATTCTCTCATTGATTTATTGTAGTTAAATATATATAACATAAAACTGACCATTTTAATCATTTTGAAGTATACAGTTCTATTGCACTTAGAATATTAATAATGTTGTGCAACCATCACCACCACCAATCTACAGAATTTTTTTCCAAACTGAGACTCTGGATTATTAAACAGTAATACCCTATCTCTTTTTCCTTTTTAAAACTCCTTCTAGTTCTATTATAATTCTTCCAAGATTTTGCCTTTCCCCTTTATAAACATCTAATATTGTTATTTATTATTTATCAGATGAAAAGCAATAATTATTCTTTGAATGCAGTAATTGCTTAAAAATGTTGCTGATGGCAGTCTACTAATGCTAATACTATAAGAGTCATTTTTTATTATTATTATTTTTTTAATATTTTTATTGATTTTGTACAGAGAGGAAGGGAGATAGTTAGAAACATCGATGAGAATTAGAAACATCGATCAGCTGCCTCTTGCACACCCCCTACTGGGGATATGCCCGCAACCAAGGTACATGCCCCTGACCGGAATCGAACCCGGGACCCTTCAGTCCCCAAGCCGACGCTCTATCCATTGAGCCAAACCGGTTTCGGCAATACTATAAGAGTCATTTAGTCAGACATATTTCTATAAAACAATTCTGGGTTAGTGTATTTTTAAAAATCTGTGGCCTAAGTTTCAATACTAGAAATAAAAAGTTCCAAAGTTCCAATAATACTATAATTATACTATAGTACCTGCAATTTGCAGAAAAACACCTCAAGGTACTCTGCACTTCCAAATAACTAAAAAATATACTTCCAAATAAGAAATGACAGACCTCTGGTTAATCTAAATAATTAATTTCATCATATTTTAGAATTATAAACTATTATTAAATGCTTACGGTTTTTAAAGCCAAAAATTTTAACCCTACTATTAATCTCTATTTTTATGAAATAGTTCCATTTCATAAATTTGTCCAATGATGATTCAATGGTCTGTTTTTCCTTTTTCTATATTTTTAATAGTGTTATTCCTATAAAATAGAGACCATTTATATCAAATCATTTTGTACCCCATGTAGTTAAGATTCTATATAACAGTGATATAAAAAATACTAACAAAAGGAGAAAACAAACTCATCTGGTTATTTCAAGTAAGCCTCAAGCAAAGCATAGCATTCACATTAGATGAATATTCTTTCATTGAAAGGATGAAGGAAAGTAGAAAGGCAAGAAGAGAGAATTTAAAAAAAAGATAGAAAAGAAAAAGTGTTACAGTGGTTAATTCATTGCTTCTAATTCCTTATTGAATCAATTTAGGACACAATGTAAGTGTAGCTTATCAAATGCTCTGAGGGTGCATAAGGAAAATTATGACTGCTAAGGCAATCAGAGACCAAACTAAATATGATTAGATAAGCTATTGTGAGCAATTAATTAAATTGCGGTCAATGCAAACATGGAGTCCTTTTTGGTAAGTTTTTCCTTCTGGCTAATAATGTTTCTCAACACTAGATGGCACTAAACTAAAGGTTTAAATGAAAGTCAAAATCTGTAATACCATCAACAATAAAAAATATTAAAGAGAAAGTAAAAGCATATAGTTGACTTTCTTTAATATAAGTAGAAAAAGCAGATATAACTGCTTTGCATAAAATTCATATATCAATTTTTGATAGATCTCTTACCTGGGAAGAGGTCTGTACATCTCATAAATATCTCCCAATAGATTAGTCCAAGAGCATACATGTCTACTTGTTTCAAAGCTGATTCACAGTCCCTTAGGTTCACAGCTCCTTCTAGAACTTCTGGTGCCATATATCTGATTGTACCAACCTGAAAAATTAGAGCATCAATTTTTGGAATGAGAATGAAGGGCATACATTAGACAGAAATTATACATCAATTTAATATCAACAAGATGTTAATAAGTTATTGTATCCTAACCATGCTACTGAAACTGTTCATACCTAATTTTTTAATCTACAAAATGCCTTTGAATAATTAAATTGTGGTCAATACATCCTATTGAACAGAATCAATAAAAAATGAGCTAGATCTTCCATTGCATATCAACATTAAAAAACCACCTTTAAGACACAATAAGAAAAATACAAAACAATATGCATACCACTTAGTTTTTAAGATGATAAAAAAATATATAAATGTATGTACAGACCTGTATATGTAAATGCAGAGAAAAAGACCACAGAAGTATGTGCTCCACATTGTAATAGTGATTTATCAGAAGGTGACTAGGTAATGTCTCACCTTGATAATTTTACTCCTACTTCAAAAATCAATTCCTACAAACTTCTTCCTACTGCTTATAAAAAATGAATTTGAACGTCAGTGACTTCCAGAATAAGTTGATGAACTCTATGCAGTGTCTTTTTGGTATTTCTTAATTTTGTAATTTGTAAAATGCTATAATTAGTGGAATCCTATATAATCCTATATAATAAAAGGCTAATATGCAAATAGACAAATGGCAGAATAACTAGGACAACCGAACAACCAGTTGCTATGACGTGTGCTGACTACCAGCAGAATATGCTGGGTGTCGGCCATGGTAGAGCAGGTGAGCAGGGGCACCAGACCACAGTGGGGCATGAGTCATTGCCATCGGGGCGAGCCTCTAGCAGTTACTGAAAATTCTTTGCTCCTGTGTGCCATGGTCCTGCCTGGCACTTGCACCTGCTGCTGGTGCCAACCCCGCTCACACTCACTGGTGGCGCCGGCCCTGATCACTCCATGCCTTCAGTGGGTGTGACCAGGGCCAGCACCCCATTAGCATGTGAGGGCAGCAGCAGTGGGAATGGGGCTGCAGGCAGAGAGGGAAATGGGGGCCACAGTGGGAGGGGCTGGTCATGGGCACAGAGGATGAACCAAGACCCACCCCTGTGCCTACTACAGCTTCATGGCCCACAGTTCCTTTCAAGGTGCACAAATTTGGGCCCCTAGTATAAGGATAATTATCATGAGTAGTTATCAAGGTAGTGGATTCTTAAATGCAATTCATAATGTTTTCAAAGTATGCCTGTATGATTCTTCTTGTATGCACGCACCTCACTTATGGCTGCGTTATCTTCTTCTCCTGGGCGTACCAGTCTATTTCCAGTCAGCCTCATGGACAACCCAAAGTCACTAATAACACAAGTTCCATCATTTTTCACCAGGACATTTCTGCTGTTTAAATCTCGATGGGAAATTGCAGGTTTATAATGATCTGTTTGGATAAATTTAAATATTCATTAATGCTTAAATAGCACTATTGGACATGAAATGAGTATGCAAGTAACAGGAACTACAACATAACTATAAAAGGTAGTTTTTTTCCTACCTATTATTTTCTAATAACAAAAAACGAACATAAGAAATCAAAATTTTAACTCAGAATCATTACTATTTTCAGTTATATTTTATAACATAACTCTCGTATGTGTAATTAACTTTTAAACTTCAACTGTAAATAATAGCCAACATGCTGTTGCTTCTAATTTAACACATACTTGTTTTTTTCCTCTTCGTTTTAGGGCAGTGATTTCCAACCCTTTTCATCTTATTCACACATATACTGATTACTGAAATTCGGTGGCACATCAAAATATATACATGTTTGCCAATCTGACTCCAAAAAAACAGGTATAATTCTTATTCATGTACACTGATAGCTATTGTGTTGGCTATTTTTTTTTTTTACAGTCTAAGGAAAAAAAGGTCAGTGTTCTTGACTAAATAGAAATGTATAGCATGTTTTAAAAATTCTTACCGTACACTGATTGAAAATTGCTATTGTAGGGTAGCAAAAAGAGGCAATAGAAAAAGGGATATCTGGTAAAACAACAACAAAAAAAGCTCAACACATCTAAAACAAGTATCAATAAAAAATTGACATGCCTTCAAAATTTGTATATGTACCTTACACTTTTCTCATATGACTTAACAGACCAAACCTGTGATAGAATATCCCCGTTCTGCCCTGAGGTTTAGCCATGTCTCTAATCCCACCTCAGTTCTTCAAATCAAACTAGAAGCAGTTTTACAACAGACCAAGAGAACAAGAGGTGGAACTGCTATTTCTCAGCAAGTTAAGAAAACATGTTTTCTCATTTTACAGAGAAACAAAGCACTGTTATGCTTATTCTATTATTTGTTTATCACTATACTACATATTCCATGACAGAGAGAACATGTTTTTCCTTAATTCAAAAGGCCTGACACAGAGAAAATGTTTGCAGACTGAAAGAATATATCTGAATTAAGCCCCTCATCAGAAACACCACATTTTTTCCCTCTCTGTAAGAAAACTATATTAAGACCACATTAAGACCACAGCTCTTGAAATGAAAAACATTTCATAGCACAATTTTTAAAATTTAAAATAACTCACTAGGTATCCAAAGAATACAGTGATCCAAAGTCAATGATGTTTACTGAATGTTCATATTGAGGACCAAATAGACATAGTATTTATATTATTACTTTCATTAACAAGTACTAGATTGAACTTTCATCAACAATAAAACTACAGAGGATACTGACATATATATATATATATATATATAAAGCAACAGCACAATTTGGAAGAAAAAATGGTACCGTATTCTCCGGCGTATAAGGCGACCCCCTAATTCCCCCTAATTAATAGACCGCCTCTCTGACTCTGGCCAATCTGAGCAGGCTTTTTACTAGAACACAGTGTCGTCTTATACGCCGGAAAATACAGTAGTTACAAAGTTTATAAAAGAGTTGTTTTCTTTCTCATTTTCTCCCATTCTCACTCACTGGACCCACATTCCAAAGCTTCTACTAATACGGCTCAACTCAACCCCAAAAAGAGCTTCATTTCTTATTCTGAATAAAAACAAGTCTATGTGTATAATCTCAGGCTGATATTTATGTAAGAAAATTTATAGACATTGGAAAATGTTTATATACTAATAATACCAAATCAATACTTAAACTAAAAGATCTTACACATAAATCAGGTTAAGATTGGGGAGAATGTGCAATGACTCAGTGAGACAGCCAGAGGGAAAAATTGGGTAATACTTTCTGTTACTATTAAAAAAAAATTCTTTTTTTAAGAAAACAAGAGAGCCGAAACCGGTTTGGCTCCGTTGATTAAGAGTATCGGTCTGCGGAATGGAAGGTCCCGGGTTTGATTCCCGTCAAGGACATATACTTTGGTTGCAGGCACATCCCCAGGAGGGGGTGTGCAGGAAGCAGCTGGTTGATGTTTCTCTCTCATTGATGTTTCTAACTCTCTATCCCTCTCCCTTCCTTTCTGTAAAAAAATTAATAAAGTATATTTATTTTTAAAAAAATAAAGAAAAGAAAATAAGAGAAATGAACAAAGGAGAAAGAAGAGAAGATATGAAACAAGATAGCATCCATCACCAATGCAAAGGGTAAACTATAGACTGTCCTTTTGATACTTTTTTTGCCTTTAAAAATACCCTCAGTATTCATTTTAATCTTTTTTATATGGGGTGGGTAGGATGTTACACAAAAAGGAGCAGGACCCTGGATAGTAGCACTGCACCAGACAAATATCGCAAAAGAAAGCAGGGACATAATATTAATTATGATTTTTTTAAAAAACCTGAATGAAAAATAGTGTCACTGTGGATATTTATACAAAGTCAGACAAACATATAGACAGAGAACAAGCACACAAAGGACATAAACAAATAGTAATAGTAATTTTAATAGTAATTTTCTGGTTAGGTTTGAGTGATCTATGTTCATTCTTAGATTTTTTTTACAAATTATGTTTGATATTATTACTAGAAAAAAATTCATAGGGAGAACCAATTATAAATAAATAGATTTAACAACTTATTCTGAAGCAAAAACAGCTGAATGATAACAATAGTATTATTCCTCATTACAAAATTTCTAAACAGCAAAGTTATATTTGAAAATACTGGGAAGAACAGAGTTCTTGGGGAGTGGGTGTGTGTGAAAATACCTTTTAAATGTTTTGAAATAGTCACCCTAGCAGGTTTGGCTCAGTGGATAGAGTGTCGGCCTGCAGGCTAATGGGTCCCAGGTTCGATTCCAGCCAAGGACATATGCCTGGGTTGCAAGCTCAATCCCTCCCAGTGTGGGGTGTGCAGGAGGAAGCCAATCAATGATTCTCATCATTGGTGTTTCTATCTCTCTCTCTCTCCCTTCCTCTCTGAAATCAATAAAATAGATATAAAAAAAAATAAAATGTTTTGAAATAGTATAGTATATTTGGACTATTTTTAAAATAATAGGTAAAATCGTAAGTTCACACAGCTATCATACTTTCTTGCAATAGCATATGTATATACATTTTTTTTTAAAAGCGCCGAAACCGGTTTGACTCAGTAGTAGAGCATCGGTCTGCGGACTGAAAGGTCCCGGGTTCAATTCCGGTCAAGGGTATGTATCTTGGTTGTGGGCAAATCCCCGGTAGGGGGTGTGCAAGAGGCAGCTGGTCGATGTTTCTCTCTCATCGACGTTTCTAGCTCTCTATCTCTCTCCTTTTCTCTCTATAAAATATCAATAAAATATATATATTTTTAAAAGGTTATTAAAAAGGTTAACTAGTGAAAATATTAAGTAATATTTAAGACTAAGATATGCACTTAAATAAAACTCTTACTTGATGGCAATCCTTTTCAGCCAATGTTTGACATGAAACCTTGCTGAATTAGGCAAGCCTTGACAAGGGGGTTAGAAAGATATTTCAAGTTCTGTTCTAAGTCAGCTTATTAAAGGAGTTATAACAATATTTAAGAGTAAGGAAACACAGTCCAAATGGCTAATGTGCCAAAGCACTAAAGTGAGTGAGTGCATCAAGTTGCTGACACAGATAATAACACTGGTCAATTCTGAATTCAGGAAAAGCAAGATGTCAAGATAAATGAACTGCTAAATTATTCAGGAGAAATTATTTATATATGAAGCAGCAGCTAGAAAAGATGATCCATGCTATTATATAATGGAACAAAGATCTAAGAAATTGATACAGTAAGAATTCTCTTCACTACAGAGGTCAGAGAAACTGGAAAAACAATGTGTGTGACAGGAAAATGCTGTAAGGGGAGTAAGCACAAAGACAGATTTTCGCAGCAAAGCAATTTAGAGGTGTCTATGATATGAGGTGTATTTTGAAACAAAGTCAGAAAGCAAATGTATTTTTTTTTTATTTTAAAATATTTTTTATTGATTTCAGAGAGGAAAGGAGAGGGAAAGACAGACAGAAATATCAATGATGAGAGAGAATCATTGATCAGCTGCCTCCTCCATGCTCCACACTGAGGACTGAGCACACAACCCGAGCACGTGCCCTGACTGGGAATCAAACTATGACCTCCTGGTTCACAGGTCTATGGTCAACCACTGAGTCATGCTGGCCAGGCTGCAAATATATTAAAAGAACATTTTTAAAAGTATGCCTATACAGATATCTTTGCAAGGACAGTGTTCAGAGCTTTAATCAAATTCTCAAGGGTATCATGACTCCTCTAGAGTCTTGAAATTATTTTTCTCATTCTTCCTATTAGATTTAAAATACAGTTCTCACATCAGATCTTTCAAATAGCTGGCTAATAATCTACTATATATAATATATACTTTTACTTTGAAGATATGAATAAATTTCCCTTTAATTTTGACTCCACATGAGTATCATTCATCTTCTATTCATTGTCTTACCTCCTCGTGGTAATTCTGTATGAAGATAAGCCAGTCCTCTAGTCACAGAATGAGCCAGACGGCAAGAGCTTACCCAATCACTTGTATGGAGACTAAGATACTTGCATAGTGATCCCTATTTAGAAGGCAAAAGAGAGAGAAAGAGAAAATACTGCAATTAATTTACTTGATTAGAAGATAAGTTAGAAGTCTTATAAAGGGCTTGCATAGTTTAGGATTCCATGGATATCTAACAAATTATAATATTTCAGAATCTTGAAGGAGTAAGACATTTCCTTGGGTAGAGAGAAAGAAAAAAGAAATTTAAACATTATCATTATTGATTTTTCCAATATTTAAAATTATGTAATTATTTCATTTTAAATACTTCTTGATTTCAAATTAAGATAGAAAATGAGTTATTTAGACTCTTTCTTTACACTATACCTCTTATCAGTACAAATACAAATTATATCGTTATGTTTCACAAATAGAAAATAGATTTTTGTAAATATGTATGTGCCAGTGCTACTCAAAGCTCTTTATTACCAACCAGCCTGGGATGGGATAAGGAGCTTGCACCGGAATGAATGTCAATCAAAGCACTGCTTCCTTCATCAAGAAAGTCTCGTGGAGGGGTGAGAGGGTCGGGGGAGGGAAGGGTTGGAAAGGTGAGGGGTACTAAACAGTTAACTAGTGACAGTTAATTCACATTCTGTGTGAGATCCTTATCTCAATGCAGACCCTTAGTAACCAGTTTGCAAACCAGCAATGTTCTATTGAATATCTGATTGACTGCTCATATAAATCTGTTTATTGAATGAAGGACTTACATTGGGATAGTACTCCATCACAAGCAAATATTCCATGCGTCCATCTGCAGTGACTCTCTCATCTCCAACTATAAAGCGAGCAATGTTGTCATGTTCCATCAAAGGCACTCTGTAAATGTTCTTCTCGTTGATAAAATTCTGACGGTTTGTGAAGGAAAACATTTTTACAGCAACTGGACGCTCATCTAAGGAACCTTTATATACTGCTCCATATCGACCCCGGCCAATCAGCTGCAAATTTGTTTTGAAGCAAGCAAGGTATTAATTCAAATTACAACAGAACAATAAAATTTACTAAATAAAGTGTAAATCCATAAGTGTGCCACAGTTCTCTATGGCTTAAAGGTTAAATTATGTCATTATCAAGGAACTAATCAAGTCCACATTTTATATGGCTCAGGAAGCAACTACTAGACCCAGCCTTCCCAAAGACAGCAACAATAAACTCTGGGGGGGGGAAATGTACAAAGAAACTAAAAGTGCTGGAGAATGAAGAAAAGGAGTTATATAGTGAAAGGAGTCAACACTTAGAAGAAAGGAATGGCACCTTACCCCCTTTTATATCTCTTAGCCTGAGAGTAGGCTGCAGTCAGCGCTGCGCATTGGAGCTAAAAACAGAATAGGAAATCCATAATCTTTCTGGCTCCAGGAACCAGAGGACAGAATTTGGGATAATCACGGTTGCTGGAAAGTGAGGGGAGAACTTCAGAAAGGAGAATCAGAGAGGGGGGGAATGGAGTGAATGCATGGAACAAATTCCTGCTAAAGACAAAGTAACTGAACTAAGATTTGAGCTTCCATCTGAGAAGAGTTTGCAGTGTGTCCAACCAAGATAAATGCCTACTCAAACAAACATTGAAAGTAAACACCCTTCAGAAGAATCTAAAGAACATAGAGTCTGTACCATATTCATATTCACAATATCTACAATATAAAATTAAAAGTTAATACACAAACAACCAGCAAAACGCAATCTGTTCTTTTCACTTTTTGACTTCTGGGGATTTCTCTCACTTTTTTATTGAAATAGGTTAGGGATTTACTATCATCAATTTAAGGGTATTTGTTATATTTCACTCACTGTTTCTAAGATAAAATTTAACAAAAAGATAGACTGTTCTTAGAAAGGTTTATCAATATCTGGTTAAATCAGCAATGTTTGGGAGTGTTTCTTTTACTCAGTCCAGGATAAAATCCTATGGTTTTAATAAGGTTTTTTTTTTCAATGTAGTAAATTAGACATCTAATTATAATACATTTATTAGCCACACTTACTTCTTTTGTGAATTGTTAGTTCATTTCTTTTGTCCATTTTTAAAAATTATTTCTCATATTGATTGATACTAGCTCTGTATCAATTCTTTGTTTCTGTGTTGAAATACTTTTTTTTGTATCTGGCTTTTAACTTTGTTATATTTTTCTCCCAAAATGAAAGGTTCTTAAAATGTTTTATATTATCAAATCTACCATGTCTATTATTTAACAGTCTCTGCAGTTTGACGATCAGATTTATATATCTACTAGTGACTCGCTGCATGAAATTCATGCACATTAAAAGGGGATTAGAGGAAATAATTTAATATTGCTATTTGTCCTTTCTCTATAATAGAAACGTCGGAGATGAAAGAAAATTAGTAAAATGTACAGGAAAACCTTCCTCCTGTCAGCGTCTGGGGCACACCACGGGACCCAGAGTCAAATCCCCGCCCACCCACATGCACCTCAAAATCACTTGAGACCCAGAACAGGCCGGCTCCCCACATTGGGCTAAATCCAGACACAGTCAGTCCCACCCTTGTCAAGCCCTGCTGGGCAGGGGGCATAGCCTCAAGTCCCCTGGCCCAGGGAGAGGATGGGAGACATGGCCTGAGGTCCCCCAGCCCAGACAGAGGCAGGGGCATGCCTTGAGGTACTCCATCAAGCCCCACCAGGTGGGGCGGTTGGCCTGAGGTTCCCTGTTAAACTCCGCTGGGCAGGTGGATGTAATCTGAGGTCCCCCAGCCTGGGGCTGGGGTGGGGAGCATGGCCTGAAGTCCCCCCTTAAGCTCTACCTGGTGGAGGGTGCGGCCTGAGGTCCCCAGACCTGGCACTGGGGCGGGGGAAGCAGCCTGAGGTCCCTTAGCCCAGCACCAGGACTGAAAGCGTACCTTGAGGTCCCCAGTCAAGCCCCGCCAGGTAGGAGGCATGGCCTCAGATCCCCTGGCCTGGCTCTGGGGCGAGGGGTGCGGTCTGAGGTCTCCCAGCCTGACGCCAGCACATACTTCTCAGAATTTCGCATCCTTATTACCAAACTCTTTTGACGTCTGTACTCAAAGGTCTTTTCTAAATATACTTTCTTTAATAACCCCTTTTCCATAACTTTCTTACATTCTTGTCCATTTTATTTTTCTCCATAGCACTTACTATTACTTGAAATAATATACATTGGTTTACCTGTTTATAGACTCTCTCCCACTACAATGTAAGTCTCAAGAGGGTTATCTGTATTGTTCAGCTACATTCTCAGTGCCTAGAATAGTCTTGGCACTAAACTGATACTCAACAAATACGAATAAATAAACAAATAATTCATTAAGTGAATAAAGTCACAGTCTCAGATATGGAAGCAGAAGAATGGTCCATAATCTTACAATCTTACCTCCAACAGTTTCAGATTATCTAGGTCAAGAGAGGGCTCTGATGCTGCTGCCTCCATCATGTTCATACTGTGCAGACCTTGTTTACGGTCCCCTATAGGAATAGGCAGAAGTAGTTACTGGGTGCTTCTCTTAAAGTGAGAACTTCAATGTACTTTTTATTATATTACCATTAAAAGGAAGAGCTACAGAAGGGTAGGCAGCAAGGCTTGTGCCTAATGTCCATGGGTGTAAAACTATTTACTAAACTAAGAATTATCTATAAATTAAGATGAATGATAAGTAACATGAAATCTGAATTCTGGGAGATGATTCCAGTAACAGACCTAGTTTAAAACCTTAAAAAATACTGCCAAGACATTAAAGGTAGTTTTATTTGTTATTTAAATCAACGAATGAGTGCAGATTTCCTAAAAGTTCATAGAACCTAAAGTTTATTAGAAACAACTGAACATTTGATGATACTGAGAAATTACTGTTACTTTTTAAAATGTTTAATGGTATTGTGGGTATATATATTTTAAATCCTTCTATTTCAGCAATAATAGTAAAGTATTTATACATAAATGACATGTGATTTTTAAAAAATAATCCAGTGGCACAGAAGGTGTAGTGAGTGGGACTAACAGATGGGTGATGTACAGATGTGATAATTGTTGAAGTTGGGTGGTATTTTGTATATGCTTGAAATTTTTCATAAATACTAAAGGAAAAAGGATTGTTAAGAGAGAAAGATGGGAACTACTGTACTACAGAATGTTTTTTAGCATAAAGATTTTAAAAAGGAGAAAATAAGTATCAACGAAAAGGCATGTTTAATAAACAACAGAATAAGAAGTTCTATTTTTACCTGTCAGCATCCTGTATCCAAAGCATAAGGCAACTATCAAAACAGCTAATACAGAGACTGATGCTAAAGCAATAATTATTGTTTCATCTCGGTTAAATGAATGAGGTGGACCTAAAAGAAAACAAATTTTAAAATATAGTTATCATTAAAGAAGATGTACATATTTATAATGGAATATTACATGGTCATAAAAATGAAATTTTGCCATTTGCAATAAGGTGGGTGGAATTAGAGGGTATTATGCTAAGGGAAACAAGTCAAAGGCAAATACCATGTTATTTCATTTATAAGTAAATCTAAACAACAAAATATTATAAACAAACAAAACAGAAATGAACTTAAATACAGAGAAAAAATGATAGTTGCCAGATGGGAGAGGGGTTTGAGAGGAATGGTTAAAATGGTGAAGGAGCCCTAGCCAGTTTGGCTCACAGGAGAGAGCACTGGGTCCCAGACTAAAGGGACCCAGTTCAATTCCAGTCAGGAGCATGTACCTTGTTTACAGGCTGGATCCCGGGCCCTGGTCAGGGAATGTGGAAAGCAACCAATTGATTTTCCCTCTCTCTGTCTCTACCTCTCCCTTCTCTCTAAAAATCATTGGAAAAACATCCTCAGGTGAGGATTAACAAAACAAAACAAAAAGGTAAAGGAATTAAGTACAAACTGGCAGTTACAAAACAGTCACAGTGATGTAAAATATAGCATAAGAAATAGTTAATATTATAATAGCTAAGTACAGTGTCAGATAGGTAGATGACTTATTGGGGAATCACTTCATTAGTTACATAAATGTCTAATCACTGTGCTGTACACCTGAAACTAATATAATATTCAGTGTCGTAATTAAACATTTTTAATGTAAAAATATAGCTATGCCTTTTTTTTAGTATGTTGTTAGTGACAGGAAGACTGTATCACTGTTAGTCAAATCTGCAATGTTTTTGCATCAAAGGAATTAAAAAATTAATAAATTTGTAATTACTGAAAAGTATACTTCATGTAGATTATTTTTATACTAGAGGCCCAGTGCACAAAATTCATGCATTCAGGGGGTGTCCCTCAGCCCGGCCAGCACCCTCTCGCAGTCCGGGAACCCTCGGGGGATGTTTGGGAGAGGGCCTAAATTGACAGTCGGACTTCCTTAGCGCAGCCAGGAGGCGGGAGAGGCTCCCGCCACCGCCACTGCGATCGCCAGCAATAAGCCGGACTTCTGGCTGAGCAGCGCTCCCCGTGTGGGAGTGCACTGACCACAAGGGGGAAGCTCCTGCATTGAGCGTCTGCCCTCTGGTGGTCAGTGTGCATCATAGGGACCAGACATTTTGTCATTCTATTGATTTGCATATTAGCCTTTTATTATATAGGAAATTATATACATTTAGAATACTGAAATACCTGTTAGTTACATTTCTAATTATTAAAACACTAGAGGCCTGATACACAACATTTGTGCAAGAGCAGGCCTTTCCCCTCCCTACCCCCACCCCTCCCCGGCCAGCACCGGCTTCCCTCTGGCACCCAGGACTGGGCTTCCCTCTGGCCACCAGCAGGCACCTGAGACCTGGGCTTCCCTTAAAGACCCAGCTTCGTTCAGAAGTCATCCAGAAGGACATTCAGTCTAATTAGCATATTGTGCTTTTATTATTAACTACATCATGGAACAGCACAGACAGAACAGTATATTTAACAGAATAGTCTTGGAATCACATTTAGTGTCTTTTTAAAATAAGTTTTTATTGATTTTAGAGAGAGGAAGGAATAGGTACAAACAGAAATATCAATGTGAGAGAAACATTAATTGGTTGCCTCCTGTGCACCCCCTACTGGGGATTGAACCCACAACCTGAGCATATGCCCTGATCAGGAGTCAAACCAGTGACCTTCGGCTCATGGGGCTCTGCTGGGCTCACATTTGGTTTTAAATCTTGACTCTACACCACTCTCTCAGTAGCCTTTAGCAAGTTACTGATATTTGACATTTCTGATGTTCAATTCTCACATTTGTAAAAATAATAATCTCTACCTCACAAATCTTCTATGAAGCTTAGATGGAAATCTGAGTACTTAGTATAGTGTTGAGAATATATTATCTATGCAATAATAGTAGTTATGTTTACCAATATTAATATAATGATTAAAAGAGTGTGGCTTTGCTGGCAATTAAACCTGAACTAGACTTAAAACTCAGTTCTTCACCCTCACTGGTTTGGCTTAGTGGATAGAGTGTTGGCCTGCGGACTGAGGGGTCCTGGGTTTGATTCCGATCAAGGGCACATGGCCAGGTTACAGGCTCAATCCCCAGTGGGAGATTGGGGTGTGTGCAGGAGGCAGCCTATCAATGATTCTCTCTCATCATTGATGTTTCTACCTCTCTCTCCCTTCCCCTCCCTCTCTGAAATCAATAAAATATCTTTAAGAAACAATAAAACAAAACAAAACTCAGTTCTTCCACATACTGCATGACCTTCAGAAAATTTCTTCACCTGTCTGAGCCAAAGGGAACACACATATCTAAATCACAGGGCTATTATGAGCCGGTATACCGTTAGTTATACTATTATGTGTTAGTTCCTTCCATGAATCAGATCATGCCCAGAGAAACACCCCTTAGGATGAATGTCCACAAACTGGAGTTTGTCCAGAGACATGAAGGTATTAGAACACTGAAATGTGATAGGTAGAGAAAAATGGAAGTGTCTGGTATACAAAAAGAGAAAATTTAAGAGCATACAATAGTTGTCTTCACGTAGAAAAATAGATTTGTAGCTAGAAAGAATAACATGATCCAATTAGTGAGGGTTCCAAGGAAAGTAGACAGAAAATACTGTTTTTGATCCATGGTTGGTTAAATCTAAAGTTTTAAACCTAGGAATATGGAAGGTCAACTGTGTAACCACAGAACTATCTCAAAGTGGACCTATTCTGTTTCTAACAAGATTCTGAGTTGCTTTGCACAGGCAGCAGACCAAAACTGCAAAGCATACAGCGGAGGCACAAGTTGCACCTGGAACACACACATCCCGACTCGCATAAATGTTTCTAGAGAATGCCAACAACTGGATTTTTAAAAACAAGTAAATTTCTTAATGACAGTAACTAAGTAGCATTTTTATCGTAACATAGATTCTGTCCATTCACTATACTTTCCTGAGTTTTCCTACATGCAAGTAGATGTTTTTAATGTTTTTCTTCTATGCTGTTCCTATAACTTTGCTATTAAAATACATTAAACTATTTTTTCTTCCCCACCACTGCCTGCCCCCCCTATTAAACTATTTTTTAAAAATTGGTTATGCTGCTGAAACCGGTTTGGCTCAGTGATAGAGCATCGGCCTGCGGACTCAAGGGTCCCAGGTTCAATTCCAGTCAAGGGCATGTACCTTGGTTGTGGGCACATCCCCAGTAGGAGGTGTGCAGGAGGCAGCTGACTGATGTTTTTAACTCTTATTTTTTTAAAAAGAAAGAAAATGCAACATAACTTTTACGTAAAAATATTAATTAACCCACAATCTGAAGTAGAAAATATTAATTCATATACAGGGCAGATGAAAAAGTGTTAAGTAGATCTTTAAACATATTAAAAAAAAAAAAAAAAAAACACATGCTAGTGGTTAAATATTTCAAATGGAAAACTTTACAGGATGTGTCACATGATCTAAAAATATGAGACCTCTGAAAAACTGCCAGAAAAAACATTTCAATGTATTCATATATGTGTGCAATAAAAGAGGCCTTTACCAGAAAACTCCTAACTTTTATTTTTTGTTTCTTTTTTAAAATTCTTTCCTTTTTGCATATATGCTATATATACGCTATATCTGAAATTGTTTTGTTCCCCTAGCTCTAATAAACCCTCTCCTTCCTCCCTATTAGCTTTCTCAGTTAAATACTCAGCCAAATGTAAACACTGCTATGTATGCCTGCGTGCAATGGCTCAGATTGTACAAGCAAGCGCTTCCTGAAGGCAGAACAGACAGGGAACTGCTGTCTGCCTCATTGGAGCCTGGGATGTTTCTGTTTACAAATCCTGGAGCCAGGCAGGGGCCACTACTGGAGGCTTAGTGTTTGCTTCCTTGCTACACTCAGCCTTTGTCTGGGTCTGTGTCAAAGAAAGAACAACATTGTGGCATGTGCAGCAAGCAACAAAAGAAATCTTAAATAAATGATGCTTATTTGGCTCCTAAATCTTTTACAACTCTGTATTAAAAAGCAAATTAGGAATTTGTTTTTGTTTTTAATTTTTTTAGCAATGTACTTTTCATAAAACTAGAGGAAAAACATTAAAATCAAAACAATGTGATTGGAGTTGAATTCCTTAGCATAATAATTCAGATTGCTAAATATTGTTTCTCTGATAATGATATATTACACAGTTCAATGTTTTGAACAAATATTTCTATAAGAAATAAACAATTTTATCTTCATTAATATGTTTAGAATGGCAAATGTACAGCAATTATGATCACAGTAATGTTTATGTTTAAAATCCTAAATTAAGAGGAGGCATATCTCCTTTTTTTCAAGTTGGTATTTAATACTATTTAAGACTTTTAAATTTAACTTGCCTCAATCATTATGAATAGACTTTGTTTGTAAGAAACAAACAACAACAAAAAATAAAACAGTCCATAATCTCCTAAATCCAGACATTTTATGGCGGAATTATAAAATGGAAAACTAAAGGAGAGACAGAGGAAGAGAAACAATCTGAATTAAACAATAAAAATTTTTTTTTAAAGAAAACAGGAAAAACATTCAATGCCAAGCTTTCTTATTAACTTCTAGCTTAGTAAGATTTATAATTTTAATTTTTTAAAATAGGTGTTTTGTGATTAAAAGAGATTGAATTTCAGCATTATGCTTCTTTTATTAAAGAACGGATTAAAACTAACAAAGTTAATTATATTTCATCAGAATAAAGTCATTAAATTAGTGTAAAAATAGCACTTAAGTAAAATAGATTAAGAATTTTTATTTATTTATTTTTTTAAATATATTTTATTGATTTTGTACAGAGAGGAAGGGAGAGAGATAGAAAGCTAGAAACATCGATGAGAGAGAGTCATCGATCAGCTGCCTCTTGCACACCCCCTACTGGGGATATGCCCGCAACC